TAAAGCTTATGGGATTTCCATCTCACCCAATCCAGAAATTGCAGTTTTTGGCTGTGTATGTTCCAGAACTATCCCTGCGACTGTGCGGGTGCCAATCGACCTCGGAATGATGATTGCGAAAAGACTTATTCTAAAGGAATGGAAGTCCGCTGCTCCTCCCTCCTTCAGTGTCTGGCTCAATGACATGTTATCAGTCATTCAACTGGAAAAAGTTCGATACCTGCAAAGACCTGCAGCAAATGTTTTCTCAAAGTCCTGGACTCTGTTTTGTACTCACCTTGAAAAAGCTCACGTTGTATAAACATGTACCATGGCACTGCAATTTCCCTGTTTATTGCATATAACATTTAATTCATTATGGATACTGGTAGTTTCTAATTTTAATGTTTTCTTTCTTTTTTTTCTTTTGTCTTTCCCTATTGATTATTATTATTGTGCTATTTCTTGTCCTATCATCTCAGCGCCTGAGCTGTATTTGTTTGTTGATGGGGTTTTCTATGCTGAAAAAATTAAAATAAAAGATCCAAAGAAAAACTTTGAGAAGACCTTCAGAAAGCCTGGAAAATTATTGCTCAAGACCACTTTAAAAGGTTAGAAGAAAGTCTGGCTCCTTGGAAGCAAAATATAAAGAATTTTTAAAATTACCTTTGAAATAGATGTATGAGACGTAGGCGCGATCATGGTCCTTCTCACACTCTGTGCCATCACATACTATCACCCAGCAGCTGTAAGCCCCCGTGTCGGCAGCAGAGGGCGACGTCAGGATCAGCTGACTGTACTTGTCGCTTTGCTTGATGCTGCAGGCGAGAACCAAAATATAAGATGCTCGCATTTAATGATTCACTGCATGAAGTACCTCATGTTTCCTTCCAGCACCTGAGGCGTGAGTTATTGAAAGTATCCAGGTAAGTCGGGTAAGACCATCCGATTTTGCTGCCTTTGCAGCGCAACTCCATGTGTTTCCCAGGAGTCAAAATGGTGCTCTGGCCCAGGCGGAGGAAGCGGCCTTTATCCAACACCTGCGTCAGGAGTGAATGGCTTCTGCCTCGTCCATCTTTCAGCGTAGGCCACACCTTTACCCGTTTCCCACCTGGCCGGATGCGGTTCTCTCCGATGTCTTTTCTTCGCTTGACCTGCTGGCAGGCACCTGCAAACACAGAGCCATAGAGGGCAGAGGGGAGAAACTAATAATAAATAGATCAATAGATAGATATGATAGATATAACTTATATAACTTCCAAGTCTGATAAAGAAGCCAACAGGGAAAGTGCAAAAAAACTGCAGTTCCACTTGAGGGTGGCTCAAGTTAGTCCCCAAAGACTTTCATTTTAAAATGACCAAAAAATAAACTCCTTTATATCATGATATAAATAAAAGGTTTCATTTACACCTTCATGGTGAAATTTTCTATAACCCATTTGAGGCAGTTGTACAAAACCCTAAAATGATTGTTAGGGTTACAATGACAATGTCACAATAACACTGCAGCTCTGTCCATTTCAGTTAGCTGCTCTTTCTCCAGCTGTGGTAACATTAAAACAGGATGTGTAAAAAGTCCAAGTTACTGGCACAGTATGACCATAGCTGTTCCTCTCCTTTTGCTCTCTTGTTCTCTGTGAAATACACAAACCGTTAAATACAAGAAAAATCAGCCTGAAGTGTAGACTTTCAGAATTTGTTGTTTTATTCCTCAGAGCTGCATTAATGGAAACTCAGAGAGAGGTCAGTAGTACAGGCCAGATAATTAAAAACGCCTGCTGCATACCTTAGATCCAGCTGGTTTGAGTCGGTCTGTAGGAGCACTTTGGGAAAAACTTTCAAAAACTCAAATCCTTTGCATGCTTTTACACTTTGCATACATAAAATGCAAAGATTTTTTTAAAGTCAGTGGCTGCAGACCTCAGAGGTAGTGTAAACAGAATTTAAACTTTGCAGTTTGTGAGTGAGATCTACTGCGTGATTGCACCTCCCATTCTACGCCCACCACATAGGCCGATGCCCCCAGCCAGTCCTGATGCATCCTCAGATTGTCTCATTCTCCCTCTTGTGCATTGTTACAGCCAAAGCTGTCGTGATTACGTTAACAGCCATCTTTCTTCACTAACAAATTGACATGACAGATGTGGAAATGGAGACTTACCATTTTGGAGCTCTACCACGAGCAGAGTCAAGCAAAGCACAGCCCAGAGGTTCATGGTCAGAGGGTCGAGGAATCTGCAAGTTCTGGAGAGAGATCGGGGGGGCTTTATGAAGGGGTGAGGCGGGTAAAGAAAGTCAGGCTTGCAGCTTGGCTGGAAATTTGCAGGCTCCAGTTGCCCTATTTAGATTTCCAGCTCCATCCTCCTCACAGACTGAACGGAAGAGGGAAAATAACTTCGGAGCTCCTCTGTTTACTCCCATTTCTCTGATCTGAAGAGCAGAAACTTGTAGTTGGAAGCCCTCTGCTGGCCCTCAGTATGAACTGTCCTTCTTTTAGACAAGAAAAGTCAAGGCACATGCCCATACGTATATTGACGGAAAGTGAAATATTAATAGTGCCTCATTATGAATAGCTAGATATATGTACCAGCATGTAACCTGAAAAAATGTGAGCAGCTCATTGGGAATCCAGAGAGAGCTGGAGGGTCTTTTTTGACTTAGTTTTCTAATTATACCTTTTTATTTTTGTGTCATAGAACAAGGACTTTAGACTTTTAGTGGGAACTTCATTGATGTCATTGTCAATGTTTTCATGAGACTGAAGCACATCTGCAGCTGTCACAATGCTCCTTTCTCTGATTCTTGTGTTTTTGCAGAGACAAATCCTGAAGAGGATTACTTTCTTTGAAATGAGCTTAAAAAGCATAGATTACAACTACAAATGTAAGTATTTCTCTTTGCATAGAGTTTAGATGTGAAAGTGAGCTAACTTTTGATAATGAGTTTTCGTTCTTGAACAATTTTTGAGCAGCGCCCCCAAGTGGACAGTGTCTGTTTATGGACACTCCTGTTTTTGAGAAGTTTCTGAGGAAAAAATACAAACTAAAATGTTCATCTTCCTGTGGAAATTACAAGCGATAAGACACATCTGACACTGTATTACCGGAAAATACATTTTATTTTATTGTATTTGTGCAGTTGGTAATAAGTGACACTCCATTACAGCATCTTCTGCAGTACGTTCTTCATCCTGTACCCTCATTGCAGTCCCCTGCACGTCAGTGTAGAGCTTCTTTGTAGCAGAACACCTTACTAACACCTGCTGAATTTGTTTCACAGTTTTTAGACCACGGAGCGCATCGATGAACCACAGCTTCAATGCTCTATCTATGGAAAAATGCACTCCAAGGAAAACACCAGCAGTCCTTAAAAGCCAAGAGGAATGAATACAACCACACAAAATCTCTTGAAACCAGTTACGAACCGTTTAAAAATACATATATACATGAGGAATGAGGAGCTTATTTTATATACAGGAATACTTTGTTAGGCAGCGATGACAAGAGAGGACATTTTCATGAAGGTTGTAGCTGACGCTGAAATGTTTGTGTGGGTTGCCATGACAACACCAAAGTGTATCTAAGATCGTTATTGTTTTCTATTTGTTTTCTTTATTTACTACTCATGCTTGTGTACATTTGCAGTAGGAAAATATAATCTATGAATCCAGTGGTATATCCTTCTTATAAGAAATGTTTCTGTTAAAATATTATTGTGAAGTAGTCACTTCCATTGACTATGTGCACGTTAGCATATGCTACTTCCGGTGCGGAAACTCCTGTGGGGAGCTTTGTTTCCGGTGTCCTACTCGCGCCCTGTTTACGGTCCAAAACAAGTTAAGCAAATGAATGAATCAAGCGGCGATTTACATTTCTATAGATGTCTCGGGCATTTACCCAATATATCTGTAAATGATGTTCATCGACTTGTCGATATTTTTCCCCCGCGCCTCAGGGCAAAAGAGAAAAGGGATTCAAATGTTATATTTCTCAGCTGTCCCTCGTTTATCGCGGGTGTTATGTTCTAAAAATGATAGGTGAACTCAAGTAGCCAATTTTATTTTTTGAGGTGCAAAACGTTTCGTGGACATTGTGGACATCCAGTACTGCACTTCAGAGTCACACTACTAGCAATCGATGCAGCGATTGTGTACTGTACAGGAGAGACGTCACGGAGGAGATCGTCTGCAGCGATCAGGACGCAGGACGCAATGTGACGTAAAAAAAGAAGCATGCAAACTTGCACTAAAAAATCTGCGAAACAGCAAGGTGAAAGGTGAACCGCCTTATTAGCGAGGGACCACTGTAATTTTGAAGGTAAGTCACAACATACCCTTCGTAAATACTAATGTATAGAAACCCTTACCAGCAATCGTTCATTTTTTTTGTGTGGCTTTTTCTCACGGTTTGTTAACATGCTGTGCGGGTGTGTACTTGACTAGCTGATATCGACATAACGGGGAAACATCTGGTTTGACTATTCTTCACCTGTAGTTTGAATGCTGAACATTTGCCTGTTTAAATCATAAGACCAGTCTTATGATTGGGGGTACAGAGATGTGCTTCTGAATGTGGACGATGTGTCTTCTGCATGCAGTAATGCAGTTCTGCTTATGTTGAGTGATGTAAACAACTGATCGATTTAAACTCTTTAAACGTCAAAATTGATCATTAGATTTTTTTATTACACAAGAGTGGTGAGTGTTCTTCTGCTTCTGCTCTTTGTAACTTAACGCGATCTTTCCGTTTTGGACATCAATTTTGGAGTATATCTTCGCAGTAGCGATTGACCGCAAAGTAAAGCTACCGGAAATGTACAACCCCACATCCGGTCTCAAACCAGGAAGTTAGCATTTTCTCGTGCACAGGGTCAATAGACTGTAGAAAACATGGACGACGCGACAGCTCCCCAAAAATGAAGCCAAAACGTCTCTATTGCCCCCTTGTGTCTGGCTGCAGTATAGGTTATAAGCCCCGCCTCCTCCATGTTAGCGGCTGGGACTGGGGTCAGACTAAAATAA